CCTCAGGGCTGAAATTGACCCAGAACGGGGCCCGGGCCGGCCAAGAACGGCGGTGACCGGGGGGACACCGGTGCTGCGGGGAGATAAGGGAAGAAAAGATGTGGCTACGATGTGTATTTACAGACTTACTTCAGGTTCTGGACACACGGTTTACTGTTTCAGCTGATTTGCGGTGCTTGGTTGGGTACACGCTGTTGTGCCAAATTTTAACTAATTAAACCCACTGGCTGCTTAGCCTGCGGCTAAACTCTGTTATTTGGCTTTGTCGCTAGCGGAAAGCTCAGGGAGCAGCGGCCAGGGCTCAGCTGCGCTGAGGGGACTGCCCCACCTGCAGCAACAGCATCACCAGCGGCACGGCGTGGGCAAACCAGGACCACTTGTGCGAGAAGGAAAAGGCGACAAAACCAGCTGGATTAACGGGAAAAACCAGCTGGATTAATGAGAGTTGCTTGTCGTTCCCCACGAGGGGCCCTGGGGCCCCGAACCCCGCGGGGACAGCCCCACCGGAGCAGCGGTGGGTCCCCGGCGCATCCCGCCCCAGAGCACGGATGGGAAAATTGAGAGGAAAAAAGGTCCCAAGGCAGTGTGCACTGACATTTCCATGAAATGCAGCCACACGAGTCTCACCTCTAGACACAAACCCGGAAATTTTAAAAGCAGTTTTGTGCACACTGAACACCTTCCTACTTCTCTGATCCTCCACCACACTCCCCTTTACAACGCTTACAGTTGGAATAGTAAAGCCTTTTATAGACATAATAATATTTCTGCTTATATTGTTCTAGACTTTGCAGGGTTTTTTACAGAAAAAAAAAAGATTTATGTACAAACATAGACAAAAGCTCAAAATAGTGAGTTTTTCCATGTTAATTAAAAGTTTGGACAAAGCCAGAGAACTGTTTTTCTCTTTCTTGCAATGCAGGACAATTATTCAATACCATTTTTAGTGTCTGTAAATTGAATAAATTGTTGTGTTGGTTTCAGCCTGGCTTTTACCGCCTGCTGCTCTGGAGAATACAGGAACCCTGCTGCAAAATCCAGCTCCAGCTGATTGTTAACTACACCAAGATGTGGTTTAACAAAGTCACTGGAGCCTATGCCTTTGACATTTTTGCCACTTGATCTCTTGAAGGATGGATCTACCAATCATAAAGCATAAACAGATTCCCTAAACTATTAAAGAATTTCCTAGAAGATCAAAAGCCACACACCTATTTCATAAAAATGTAAAGCCAAGAAATTAATAAATGCTGTGACGTGAATTCATACTTTTTTTTTCCTTCAGTTTTTTTATGTAAAAATCTTCAAATTCCAAGCATTGTGATTCAAATCACAAAAAAAAAAAAAAAAGCCTTCAAAATAAATTAGGGGATGCCTTAGAACTGAGAAAATAATCATTAGCATAGATTGTTGCTACTTTTAGCTAACACTGTCTGTCTGTGACATCCTGCAAATGGTCTTTCATTAAACTATGAGGAAACAAAACCCATGTGTCATCAGGCTCTTGTGGTTTTCTGGGAAATAGCAAAACATAAAAAATAATATACACATACACATTTAAGAAATGGACAACAGCTCTCTGTAGGTGTTTATTCTACTTACAGTAACAAAAACCTGTGAAGTCCCATATTTTAATGTACAGTGATATATTTTGCCATATAAAATACAATTTACAGAAGTTTCTATCAAGTAAACCTAAACAAACACACGTTTTGCATACTTTTATGTATGTCTTTAAATTAGAAACATCTCATTAGAAAAGAAATCTTACATCATAGTTGATGTTTGCATTTAATAGGATTTCTTTGCATGTTACCGTTTTCTCTTGGGTTCAGGACACAAATGATCATTTCAGCCAGCAAATCCTGGATGTACAAGGACCTCAAGGATGCACCAATGTGACTGTGGTGACACACATGCTACCTGTAATATAGTCCTCAAGATGGAAAACGTTTACAGGAATCTAATTTTACATTTCCAAATCTATTTTAGCAAAATACCAAAATATTTATCCAGTGGTTATTTTACACATTCAAATAAACTAAAGCGGGGTTTTATTTCACACTTCAGAATTACATGCTTGAGGACTACAGGGGAAGTAGCAATGTGATGTATTTCACCGTGAAAAATGTCCCTCTTCAATCACAACATGATGTACCACCATAATTTAAACTTTAATGCAGCTGTATCTTTTTCACTGGAGAGTTTTATATACACTGCCAGCCTAAGTAGGGTCTAACAAAAGAACAGTATCATTTATTTTTCAAGAGCCCTTTTAGAATGAAAGAGCACTTCTATAATGAAAAGTTCAATCAAACTGGGACATTTGTTAAATCTGTGGAAAAATTCTGCAAAATCTAAACAAAACCAAAAAATGCTCCACTAAATCAGTTCAATTGAAGTAACAGATTTAGTGGTCTATTTAACCAAATGTTCTTCCTTCCTTTGGTTTACCACTTTTCAAAAGAAATGTCTGATGCTTTTGTACGTTCTGCTGGTTATAAAGGTGCTACTCTTGTATTTTCTTTAATGACAGGCTTGTAAACATGAGATTTAAAATATGAAAAATAACTAAGTATGACTTGTTTCTTTGCTGTACACTTAACAGATGGATTCCAGACCCAAAATACGTGTATATAAAAGGAAGATAGTGCACTTTAAGCTTATAACCTTCCATTTTCAAATCCTCCATCAGTCACAAGTAATTATTAACACCTCTTTTGCAGCCTTCTAAACACATGACCCTGCCATTGTAAAAGAAACATGACACCAACATTTTTAGTGTGTGCTGTAGGAACAATTTTGACACCAAAATACCATGTAAATGAGATGTAAAGGTATGGCTCCTCAGGTCTGGATTAAATTCTCCTATAAAATTACAATTCAAGTTACTGGAAAACATAACTTTATAATCTTTAAAAGCAATATGCTCTTCTTAGACTTTTTCCATTTCTGTACTGTAAATGGAAACTTTAAGATAAAGATGCAAGTAGAAAAAACAAAATTTCAGTACAGGTAACATTGTGAATCTTTATAAGAAAAACATTATGCACAAAATGCAGCAAGTGAAAGTTCATTATGTTCTTGCATTTCATCTATCTGATTATTTTCATTCACAGTTGTTCAAAAATTACTAATTTGTCAGTACATCGGGTAAGGCTAGTTTTACAACAGAATTTTTAAAAGATGAGAATATGTACAGTATTTACAGATATGCAGTCCTTGCTGTGTTGCAAAAGTGGAAGTGTCAGTCACTGGTCTATGACTGATTGCTGGAAGATGAAGCTTCAGTTTCCACTGGTTTCTGAGTTTCCTTCGGTGTTTCTGGCTTCGTCTCTTTACCAATTTCCTTACTCTTACTCCTATCTTTGCGATCTTTCCCCCTTTCCCTGTCGCGATCTCGATCTCTGTCCCGATCCCTGTCCTTTTCCCGGCTTCGATCCCGGTCCCTGTCTTTCTCTCTGTCGCGATCCCTGTCTCTGCTTCTCGATCGCTCTCTATCACGTCTTCTGTAAGAGTCCCTCTCTCTGTTTCTTGTCCTATCTCGGTCTCTGCTTCTTTCCCAGTCCTTACTCCGCTCCAAATCCTTGTCTCTATCTTTGTTTTGGCTCCTATCTCTATTTTTATCCCATTCCTTGTCCCTGTGTCTCTCCCAGTCCCTGTCTCTGCTCCAGTTTCTGCCACGGTCTCTTTCCCAAGGTCTGCCATGTTCTCGATCCCTTCGTCTTTCCTCAAAGCCTCTACCTTGGCGATTATCTGCTTGTTGAGGCTCTGGCTGATCCAAACCCTTATCTTTATTTCCTCCCTCATATCTCTCTCTCTGTCTCCCCTCAAATGTCTGGCCTCTATAGTCAGGATTTTTGCCTTCTCGGAAGTCAGATGTGGGCCACTGTCCTTCAGACTCAGGTCCTTGTCCAGACATATTGGAAAGAGATGCAGATGGTCCACCTTCCTCCCACATCTCTTTCCTGTGAGTTGGCGGATGGCTTGGAAGGTCCAGGAGTGGTCTTGGGGGTGGTTTCATACCTTGTGGTGACTGACCTTGGTAATGAAATCTAGAATGAGGTTCATCTTCTTCTGGAAACATTGGAGGTGTGCCTCCTCTTGGTCCTCCAAACTGATGTGGTCCTGGACCTCTCTGGTTGGAAAATCTGGGTGGTGGGCTCCCTCTCCGTTCTTCATATGGCTGTGGCAGGAGTCCCCTTGGACCAGGCATATGATTTGGAGCTGGACCTCTCTGCCCTTCAAATTGATTTGGGTGAGGCCCTCTTGGTCCCCCAAAATGACCTGGGGCTGGACCTCTTGGCCCTCCAAACTGAGGGCCTCCTCTCTGTCCTTTAAACTGACCTGGTGGAGGTCGTCTTTGACCTCCAAAAGGAAAAGGTCCTCTGTTTCCCATAAACTGAGGGGAATCTGGCCCTTCAAACTGTCCTGGAGGCCCCATCATTTCATCATACTGGGACTCTGAGAATTCCATTTGTTCCATGTGAGGTTCCCTATGATCTTCAAAATGAGATGGTGACATTCCTCTTGGACCACCATGATAAGAAGGGGCAGGGCCCCTATTATCACCAAAAAGAGGTGGTCCATGCTGTGCAGAAAATAAGGAAGGAATGGGACCCTTTTGACCTCCAAATCTTCCAGATTGAGGTCCTCTTTGCCCATCATTATTTGGAAAACTGTGCTCTTCAGAGAACTGTGGTGCTGGCCCTCTAAAATTAGGTCCATGAGGTGCTCCAGGTGCATTGAGCATCATCGGAGGTCCCCCTTTCTGCCCAGACATAGGAAATCCTCGGTTTTCCTCAAAGTGCTGTGGGGGAGGTCCACCCTCACTCTGAACTGGCACAGATTCAGTTTGTTCTACAAACTGATGAGACTGAGAATTTCTTTGCTCATCATATTGCACTGATGAAAGACCCATGTCTGGTTCAAAGTGTCCAGCTGCCTTTTCCTGCTGAGGAAACATTGTATTTGAAAAGGAATCCCTTCCCATTGCTTCCTTTGACTCATTTGGCCATGACACTTGATGCATATCTTGCAAAGATGGGCTGTCATTTGATGTGGAGAAATTAGGCTGAAATGATGTACTTGGAGGTGTTGGAAGCAGCACTTTACGTATAGGTTTGGAAGCAGAAGGATCTCCAGAAGCTGTTTGACCCAGGTTTTCCAAAGTAACTTGAATGGTGTGTTCAAATTTGCTGTTAGATGTCTCTTTCTGCGGCACCGTAGATGTCTGTTCACTTGAAACCCAATTATCAGCAGTAAAACCAGGCTGAGTAGTGGAAATTAAAGCATTATTTTCCTTACCAAGTGAAGTCTGCAAAGCATTTGGAAAACTTGCTGGAGCAACTTCTCTTGTGGATATCTCGTTCTGTACTACCTGTGGCTTTATTCGAGAATCAGCACTGTCATTCTCTGTCGCCATCCTTCGAGCCTGTCGAGGATCTCTGTTCTGCCTTGGGTCACAGCCCTGGTTTAAAACTTGTGCTTGCTGATTTAAAGATGAAGGCAAATCTACTTTTTGTGTAGCCTGCTGGTCCTGATGGAATAATTCAGGCTTTATTAGGGAAGCTTTTGCTGGTGGAGGTGACATTAAAGCATCAGACACTGAAAAGTGAGCCATTGAAACACCAACAGCTGCTCTTTGCTGTCTGAGCGCCTCTTCTTGTTCCTCTAGCTGCCTTTTCTGTTCTTCTATTTGTTTGTTTAATTCTTCCAGCATTTTTTGCTGTTCTACCAAGGAGGAGGATGCAGATAAATCAGATACAAATGAAGCAGGTGTTTCTGAAGAACTGCTTTTACTGTCCGTATACATTTTGTTGGGTAAATCATCAACAGTAACTTTTGCTTCTTCCAAGATAGTTTCATCCTCTGGATCATAGGCCTCATCCTCCAGTTCTGCTGTAGTAGATGGTTTTTCCACACTGTAGCGTTTGTCACTTTCACCAGTCTGCATTTCAAAGGCTTTCTCTGGACCATATTCTTCCTCAGGATCATAAGGTCTGTCATCCTCCTCCTCTTCTATGGCTTTGTCCTTGGACATCTGCCCGAACTGCTGCACAATGGGATCTAACAGAGGAACGGCTGACATCCCACTATCTGCTGCAGCTTGACTTTCCTGACTGGAAGACTGAACAGTTCCAGAATCCTTGGCAACAGGCTCGAAAGTTTTCTTTTTGCCAAAGAGGGTCTGCAGGATGTGCTCAAGAGGCGTGGCAGTTTTTGAGGATGACGAGTGTGTGGCAGTGCTGCTTGCAGGAGCGGCTGT